CAGAGAGAGGTTAGGCTGTACATAGAAGGTAGTTAGACGTATCTGCTTTGGGTCTTCATGAGCTTGTTTTGATCAAAACAGTCAATTAACTGATGAAATATTGAGTGATAGCTTACTATGGTGCTTTCATTGTGGGATAAGCTATTAAGTCAATTTTATTAATTATTAAATGGTTTTATTAATTATGTTGTTCTATTAATTAATATGTTAATTATAAAAAAGTTAATTTAAAATAAATTAGATATTAAATCAATAAACATGTATTAAGCCCCTACTATGTGCCAGGCCCTGCACTAAGCTATGCGGCTGCAAAGACATGAGACAGTCCATGCCCTCAAGTAGTTTACAATCTAATGTGATAGGGATGAACCTGGGCTTTTGAAACCTATACCAGCAAGGTGTAAATTACAGCAAGTCTGATCCATCTGGAAAGACTGAACATAGGCCTGAGGATGAATTGTGTATTGAACAACCTGCCTACCTAAGTTTGGAGAGGGTCATCATCTGGTCAGCTTCAGGGTGAGGAATTTTTTTTTTTTTAAAAAGCTACAAGAGCTCTCAAAGGCCATAAAGGTATAGAGGGTTTGCCATCTGAATCAGCCAGTAAACAACCCTCGATTAAGTACCTGCTATGTGCTCTACTAAGAGCCTTGGATACAAAAAAAGGCAAAAACCAGTTCTGACCTCAAGGAGAGTCATTCTAATAGGACAGACAACTAGGTACAAAGAAGATAAATGCAGAATAGATGAAAGTAATCTGAAAGGGGGCCCTTTAGCAGCTGGGAGGCCTGAGAAAGGCCTCTGTGGAATGAGTACCCACCTCTATCAAACTGCAGATCTTTGATGTGGTGTTTATATGTGACTAGGTGCCTATTTCTGAGATGTCCACTATATGACTTAGTCCCCTCTTCCTCAGGCCATCTCAGATAGCATTTAACATTGCTGAAGTCAGTGAGGCCTAGTCCTCAGTGCTGCTAGCCATTCAGGAAATCCTACACTTACCAATCTTTCCTTACAGCTCTGGGTTCCCAGGGCTGGTGGGCTGCAGAGTTTATCAACTTTCTGTTTTGCTTTAAAGTAATTGACAGGTCAGTATGGAAAATGTTTCAGAGAGCTGCACTTAGGAAAGAAATAACTATACAGTACCTTTCCCCCAAGGAACTCAAAGCATTTCAGGTATCATGTCGTTAATCTTGGTAATAGCCTTGGGGACCAGGCAGGAGATAGCAATTGCCAGTCATCCCACTGTGTTTTATCAAAGGGAGAACTCAAACAAAGGGAAGGAACCATGCTACAGAGTGGGTGAACAAGGTGCTGGAGAGAGTGGGGATTGTTGGAGTGCTTTCTACCTTAGACTTCATTCTACCTGCTAAGTCAGGATAACTGACATTTCCTGTGGAATCTGTGGTCTGAGCAAGTCCAGGCCTTGTCTTTCCAAGGGGAGAAAGTGAAGTTTTCAGTAGATACTCTCCTTTTATCATCCTACAGAGGCCCTTACATTTTCCTTGCTCTCTGAATGTGCTCCCAAGAGCCAATAGGTCCAAATGAAAAAGCACATATAAGGCACTTTACGAAATTTAAGTGCTATGATAATCACAAATAATACAATTAATACAACTTCTTTTCCTCCTCCTCCTCCTCCTCCTCCTCCTCTTCCTCCCAAATGATCTATTCTCAGTGTCTTCTATTGGGTGAGCCCTGAGACAGTATTTCTCACAGGAACTATCTTCTAGTTTACCATCGTAGAGAAACATCCTGGACTGTTCTGGTCTGCAAAGATAGAAGAAAGCCATTTAGCTTGCCTGCTGCTGGGGTGCAGAAAGGCTGTCTCCAGGGCAAACTGTCATCTCACTGAGGCCTATTTTTCTCCCACTCTCCTGTTCTTGATTCCTTGATAACTTTCTCAGTTTTAGATAACTGTTAGGAATTCCTGCCGGGGGCCATCTCCAGTTGTCCTGATCTATATCTTGCCACTGGACCCAGATGGCTCCATAGGAGAAAGTGAGGCTGGTAACCTTGCACAGCCCTTCCCTGCTTAAATCCAATTCACTTGCAAGTCATGGCAACACCTTCCTGAGGTCATCATCCTCTCCAGTCCTCTTGGGGAATGAAGGACAAACAACAACAACAACAACAACAATGAATTCCTCCCTCTTACGTAGACCCTGGGATTTGGTTATCTTGTGAATTCTGAATTAAATCAGTGGATTGGCTGGGCCAGTTTACTTCCCTAGATCACAACTTGGACCTTGCCCTCCTTCCCCTAGGGGCATTCTTTCCCTTAATTTCTTTTAACTTTAGGCATAGCTGGGTACTATCTCCTACTCTTCAGAGTGGAGGTTAAAAGTGGACCCCTTCTAACGGGCACCACAGATCACAGGGGCCAGTTAGGTGAGAGTTGGGCCTAACTTTGCTGCCCCCTAAGTGAGGTAGCACATGATGCAGCATTGCCTGCCTGTAGGTGCATAATCAATTCTCTGCGATGGTCGTGTAGGGATGTGTGTGGGGATTGTTTCTGCTACAGTTCTTTCTCAAGACTCCTCTTCAGCCTCCAGATGGTATCCAGATTTACCAAGCATTCACTTTAGCCTGGATCCCAAGACCCAGTCATAGTTCTCCTCTTTTGCAATTTCCATTTAAAAATAAGGAAACACATGAATCAAAATTGTTTTTTCTTCCTTTGTGTTTGATTAGAACATAAATTCTTTGAAGGCAGGGACTTTTTTTTTTCCTTGCTTGTTTCTGCATCCCCAGTACTTAGCCCAAGCCTGGCACTTGGCAAATGTTTAATAAATGTTTGTTGACTGACTGATGCAGGTATGGGTAACAACAACCACAGCTAACATTTAAATAGTGCTTTAAGTTTTGCAAAGTGTTCAGCCAATATGAATTTTTTTAAAAAACTACTTTCTTGTAGGTTGTTTTACTTTAACTCAAAGTCTGGGAAACCACACATATGCCTGAATAAATATTGTCTGATGATGCTGATAATCAGTCTCCCACACCCTTTTTTGTTACTGGTAGAAGAGAAAATGCAAAGAATATGCATTCCAAGCAAGCCAAAATGTAATAGTAGACAAATAAGCTAATTTTTAAAAATAAGGTAGCCAGTTATCAAAATACAGCTGTTTTGAAGAAACTAGAAATTGATCCTCCTACAGGATGGCCTCTTTCCTTAAACAAAGGGTTTAAACACATTTTTGGAATGACCCAAAATGATACAATTTTGATAAGCGCAATTTAGCTTCTTTCCTCAGGAGCCTAAACAGTCCTATGCACATTAAACTTCCATTTAGTCGCAATCCAAAAATATCAGTAAGTTCAAATAACCAGGATTTTTATAGACCTATAAAATGCTAGTTTTCAGAAGCAACTTTATTTTTTCATGAACACCCTCATAGCCTACAAAATCTTGAAATGGCTTTTCAGAAGATTTTTAAAGAACTCTGCAATTATGCTCAGTTTTAGTGCTCAGTATATTTTGGTATTCTAATTAGATGTTATTGTTTGTCCTTCATTCTCAAAAAGGACCATGACATCAGGAAGGTGCTGCCATGACTTGCAAGTGAATTGGATTTAAGTGAGGGAGAGCTGTGCAAGGTCACCAGCCTTGCTTTCTCCTCCAGAGCCATCTGGGTCCATTGGCAAGATATAGATCAGAATGACTGGAAATGGCCCTGCTCTGATTATTTGACAGTCACCTGGAGGGCAGTGGAAAGAGACTGAACTAAGAAACCACAGACCTCTTGTTGACCTTAAATAGGTTACCTAACCTCTCCAAGCCTCAGTTTTCTTATCTGCAAAGTGGTAATAATCCACTTTCCTTACACAATTAAGAAGGTAGTTATGCAGATTGAAATATGAGACAAATGTGTAAACCTTTCAAGAAGTAAAATACTTTAAACTATGGTGGATCTGTGATCTCATTAATGTGGCCCCCTTGCTGTTCTTTAGACAGGATAATCTAACCCCTAGCTCCTTGCATTTCCCCTGGTTGTCTCCCGTTACTGGATGTCTTTCCCTTCTTGTCTCTGCCTCCAGGCTCCCCTGATATCCTTCAAGTCTTAGTTAAAGTCCAGTCTTCTGCAAGAAGGCTTTGCTAATCCTCCTTAATCTTAGCTCCTTCCTTCTGAGATTAAATTCAATTTATCCTGTTTATATCTTGTTTGTACATTGCTATTTGCATGTTGTCTCTCCCATTAGACTGGGAACTTCTTGAGAACAGGGACTGCTCCCCCCCATATCCCCATCACTTAGCATAGTGCCTGGCACATAGTAGGTACTTAATAAATGCATGTTGATTTGACTTGAGTTGGGTATTCTCTCTACTAGAACATATTGTGATTTATTTCCTCCTTATAGTGTGTACCTTCGTTCATATTCTCTCATATCTAACATGTAGAAGGTCTTGTTAGTGGTTTTACATGCCATGGGTATGTGCATAGTGTGGCAGTCAGGCTGTCCATCCTTTGCTCTTGTTATATAACTGGCCCACATCCTTTTCCTGATCATATATTTCTTGGATATGACTCTTATGCTCCTTCCTCTAGCTAGTCCATTTCCACTCATGATAATGATAACAATGATACTAATAATAATGTTAGCTGAAATTTATATAGCATTTTAAGGTTTGTAAAGTACTTATTATTTTTATTCTCTGTATCTCGCCATTGTCCTTTGGTTCACCCATTACTTGGATTCTTCAGACCAGTGTTTCAAAATTTGCAACAATACAACATGAAAATTATAGGCCTGACACAGATGAAAAGTATTACCTTTATGGTTAATTCTATAAAATTAGTAATTATCACAACCAAAATATTCAATAAACAAAACACTTTTTCTGAATTATTCTGAGTATTAATTCACTCCCTAGCTCACTACCCTGTGATGTAGTTGGTAGCAGGTGACCCATAGTTGGAAATTAAACCTCTAATTCTTAACTGGTTTTTGAACTTTGTTTGCTAGAATTGAGCATCTCATTAATAGGAGAGAACAACCCCTAAACAATACTTGGAAATATTAAAGGTAAGAGTTAACTGTCTACACATTAGCTTTTCTAATTTGATAGGTGATTAACTACCATCATCATTATCAACAGCACTGTTTTATAGGTTTTTAATGTTATAATTTTATACATAATGATGACATAAAAATAATACATAGCATTAAGTAACAGTAATATAACAGCTTCTTGTTCTTGGATCCTCTTTCCAAAGAGACCAGTTTGTATCCAAACCTATCTGGGAAACAGAACTGAGAAGTTCTGCAAGAGGAATTTAGATTCCAAGAAAAACCTAATGAGTCCTAATTCCTTTTCAGCAATTTTGAGTGATGAGTGATATAATTCTATCATTCATTACAAATGAATTGGCCAAAATATTTCACTCAAAAGAAATATGAATGAAGATAGAATATGCCGACTTCGAAGAAGCTCAGTTTCAGGTGACCCGGTGCATGATGCAAACTTTCACCCTTTGCCTGTACTCCTTGAGCAAAAAAGAACATTGAGATAAAAGGGGAGAAAAGCAAACAGTAACTCTTCAATTTGGGGAAAAGAAAATATTCTGGATCTCCAGTCATCAAAATTTGACAACAGGAAGGAAGATTATTAACCCTCCCCCTTTCTCCCATAAGAATAGGAAACACCACCACCACCACCACCACCACCACCACCACCACGTCCTCCTCCTCCTCCCCTCTCTCGTCCTCTTCCATCTACTCTTCCATCTTTCCCACCTCCACCTCAGACTGATCAAGCCACCCCAATACAAAATACTGACACCCGCCTTCTCTCCCTTAGATTTCTTTCCTTTCTTTTCCCTCCTGTTCCCCAACAGAGCAATGGAGGGAGAGACTTGGACTCAGCCCGGAACGCTTTAGTCAAGTCAATCTGTCACCTAGGACAGGCCCTGGGAAAGACGCTTGCAGTCTCTCAGTAACCGGGACACCTTTCCTATTCCAGCCTTCTCCTCCAGGCCCCTCCCCTCCCCCAATTCCCTGGTCCGCTTTGAGTTTGCATTTCCCATCTCAGGTCTAGGCTGCCCCCTGGGGTGGGGTGCGATCTAGCCCCTAATTCGGGTCTCTTTTCTCTTCCCCGCTGCCTACTTTCCTAAGCCCGGCTCCGCTTCTGACCCGCAGAGCCCCGAGAGCGCCCCGGGCAGGTGGTGCAAACACCCCTGCTCTCCCGCGCCCCCTGCCGGAGGGAGGGGAGGAAAAGGAGGAGAAGAAAAAAGAGGAGGAGAAAAGAGGAGGCTGCAAGGAGGGAGAGAGAGAAGAGCAAGAGCCTGGGCGCCGAGGGGGAACTACCCGAGAGTTTGCCCGATGGTGCTGCCGCTACTGCCGCCGCCGCTGCCGCCTCCTCCACCAAGCGGGAGAGGAGGGGCGAAGAGACAGCTAGGCAGAAGCCTGGGTCCCCTGCTTCTCCTTCTGGCACTGGGACACACCTGGACCTACAGAGAGGAGTTTGAGGACAGCGACAGGTGAGCCCTGCCCTTGCCCCCTATGCTGGGACTGCTGAAGCCCCAGGGCTGGCACAGACAGCAAAAGCTGGCTGCGCTTCTACTGCCGGAGGCGGTCGGCGCAGTGCTCGGCGCCGGACCGGCTCCCAGACGGTCCCAGCCTGAACTCCCTTGATGTTGTGGGTGCGGACCGTGCGCCCAGCACCCCGATTTGGAGGGTGCTCCACTCCAGTATCTGTATTCCCTCCGCGCTCGGAGCGGGAGGAGCGGGCTTCGTACCCACTGAAATCCCATTTGCGCTCCTGTCAGCGCGCTGGTTCATAGGACCAAAGATTTAGATCTGGAAAGGACCTTAGAGCCCCTCAAGTTCAGCCTTCCTCATTTGACAGATAAAGGACTTGCCCAGGGTCACACAGCAAATAGGTAGCAGAGCCTCCATTCAGACCCGGTCCTCCGATTACGAATCCAGAGCTCTTTCCACAGCTTCTCTTCCTGACAGTGCTAGAAGAGCCTACGGTTTCTTCATTCGTAAAACTAGAGGATCGGATTGGGTTACCTCTAAGGTCCCTTCCAATTCGAAATCCTGTGAACTGCAGCCCCTTAGGTATAGGGGATCCTCCCAGCCTGGCCTCACTCCTCGGTACATTGAGGTTCCCTGAGCATCTCCAGACCCAGACTAAAGCAGGGTGTTCTTTCCAACTTTCTTGCAGAGAAGTCTGTTCAGAGAACAAGATAGCGACCACCAAGTATCCTTGTCTAAAATCTACCGGCGAGCTCACCACATGTTTTAGGTAAGACAACGCTTACAGGAGACTTTTACAGATTAAAGCGAGTGAGGGTGCTGAGGGGGGAAGGAGGACCAGGTGAAGCGGAATTGGGGGTGGGAATGCAAAGGAAGAGATTCGGGATCTCGTGGTTGTTTTGTGGGTCGCTTGGTATAAGCTGGAGGTCGATCGCGACTGCTCTGTGAGTAGTTTCCTGTTGTGTTTATCTGCGGTGCCTGGTTGGGGGCCAGAGTCAAGCTGCAGATTGGACTGCTGGGGCTAGCGCCTAAGAAGATCCCGAGAGTGTTTATCGCTATCCCGCATATTTGTGTGTGGTAGAGGTGGGGGCCCGAGCCGGGGAAGAAGCAGGATAAGGTTGAAAGTTTATGAAGTAAAGTTGATTTGGGCTTTGAATGTAAACACTGGGGCACGGGGAAGATGAATGGCTGCCTGAGCATTTGCTGTTTTGTTTTGAAAATCCAAAGTCAACAAAGGGAAAACACTAGGCACTTGGCTGTCCCTTGACCCTCTCCCCCGCTGGGACAGCCTCGCTCACTGTCTCTGCCTCTGCAGACAAGGTGATGGGGTGGGAAGGAGTGTGTGTGTTGGGGGCTGGGGAGCAACAGGACTGTCGGCTGCTATGTGTGTTGGATGAATCTGGAAAACTTCAGGATCGTTGAAACAGCAAGAGGAGAAGCAGTTCATTGACTAGAAAGGTTGAGGGGAGGGATTGTCTCTGTTTAGGGTCTTGGAAATAGAGCTGAGTCTGCAAAAGCAAGACTTAGCAGGGTCTCTGTGATTACACTTTCTAGCTAGGAGGCATTTGATTGTCCTGGACCAATGGAATGCTCTCTTATGTGACCCTGGAGCTGCTGTTAATGGAAGAGAAAGAAAATTACTTTGACTTAGAGAGTCTAGCCTAATTCAGCATTCTCGTGGAAAAATCAGAGGTCTTGATGAGCAGCAGATTGCAGTGAAATCTGCCACATGCCCTCTGGAGAATCTGAGAATCTGCATGCCAGGCTCCAGCCTTTTGGGCATGAAAGATACTGCTTCCTCCCTCCCCTTCATCAGAAGATTAGCCCCACGGGTGCTTTTATTGAGGGAGAGAGGAGAAAGACAAGTGGCCACGAAGGAAGATCTCTTTTCACGATAAGACCAAATAAGGATCATCAAACATTTACTGAGTGCCTAGTATACTAAATTAATACAGAACTGTATTTGGTGTTGGGATTAGAGAGTAAGAAATATGAGATACAGCCCCTGCCCTTGAGGAGCTTAGAGTCTAATAGGAAAGACAGAATACATGGATGAAAAGAAACGAGGAGGCAAAGTAGCAGAACACTAAAAGGATGTGGAAGGTGGGGGTTTTTAAATCCCCCAAATCTGAAGCATATGGAATGGTAACAACTTAGAAGTTACAGGCTATGTGTCTATCTTCTCTTACCTGTCCTTTGATTCTCAATGAGGTTCTTGTTTTGTTTTGTTTTTGGTTAATAGTTTTGAACATTAGTCATTTCCAGATACTGCTTCCTCCTCACAATTGAACCCTTCTTTGTATCAAAGAAAAACAGCTAAACAGAAACAACTGACAGAGACTCTGCTGACTATATGTTCAATGTTTTGTGCTCTTGGTCCCTCCACCTCTCTGCTAAGAAAAGGGAAGTATATTCCACTGTGTTTCCAGTTCTGCAGTACCATTTTTGGCTTTTCAGTTAGAGTACAAATCTTTTCATTTACATTGTAATAGTTATTTTGTTTATCCATTTTCTGATTCTACTTTTTTCACTCTGCATAATCATACACCTCTTCCCATGTTGGTGAATTCTTTATATTCATAATTTGTAACTGTTATTCTTTGTTTTTGATGAAAATGCAAAGAATTTACTAATTCAGTTCAATTTAAGAAATATTTATTAAGTGCTTGCTAGGTATAAGGCACTTTGTTAGGCACTGGGGATAAAAAGATAACAAAACAGTTCCTGCCCTTGAGGAGCCTATATTCTAATAACACAATCATGACAAAATGATAATACATTTGTAAAATGCTTCTTGCTTTTAAATAATCTTACACATAATTTTTGGGGCTCATTTTCTCCTCCACACAGCCCTGTCAGAGAGGGAAGGAAGGTATTGTCTCTACTTGATAGACAATGAGGGATCTGAGGCGATAATGATTGTGTTAATTTGTCCAGAATCAAACAGTTAGTGGCAGAGAAGGTCGTAGCAATGACTCCCAGCACTAGGTTCTTTTCATTGGCCAATGTTGATGCTCATGAAATTGAACTTTATTAAAGATATTCTTTTTTAAAAACAAATCTATGGAGAAAGAACATTTCCCTACTGCCGCTCCAGTAAAGACTGTTTTGATGACATGTGACTTGGTATATATAGTTTGCTTCTCTTTAGAGACTCTGGATGTTGGGTTCTACAGAAATTCATAATAGAAAAAATGTGTCATATTTTAAAAGCCACTGTGGTTTATTGCTATTATGAATTGATTTCCTTTATTAAACTGACATATAAGAGGAGAGGCAGTGAGGGGTAGTAGAAAGTGCTGCACTTGGGGAGTCATGCAATCAGGGTGAAATTTCATCTCTTGCATTTCTTAGCTGTATGACCACTGAGGAATCACTTGACTTATCTGAACATTGGTGAAATGCAAATGACAATGCCTGTAGTACTTATCTTACGGGGTCATTGTGAGGTTCAGATGTATGTAAAACATTACATAAATGGCAGCTATGATTTCATATCCTCCTTTCAAGAAAGTGTTTGGAAGCTTGTATTTTCCTTTACGTGGGGATTTCAACAAATGTAAGTTTTATTCTTATTTTTTTTTAAAAGAAAAGGCAGCTTAATTAATTGATCAATTGGTAGGCATGTATTTATGAATCACTTCATTAACTATCAATCTAAAAAACCCTTTAGAAGGTATGGCAACTTAATATATTTTTTTAAAGAGTAAAGACAAATGGAAGATATAGAGGGGGAGTTCTGGTTTGAGAATATCGTCTGGATTACCTCAAAGTAATAGGGGTCTTTGTGGATACGCTTAAGATTTTCTACTTAGTATGCACCATTTTTCTTTATTGAGGATGAGGGCATCCCTGTATTTGTTTCATGGCTATGCTGTAATTTATTCCCCCCCTCCTCATTTCCCAACCTCTTTGATTCTAAAGCAATGGTTTTTAACGTAGAGTGCATGAACTTGTTTTCACAAAACATTTTGATAACTATGTTTCTTTTGTAATTCAGCATATTTTATTTTATGCATTTAAGTACATGATTCAGAGAAGAGGTCCACAGCAGCCTTTACTAGATTGCCAAAGGGTCCATTATACAAAAAAACAAACTAATAATTCCTGCCTTAGAGGTAGATGTTCAAATTTGATTTCAACTGAAGGTGTCTAAAATGAAATGCTTTTTTAAAGCATTTAGTCAAATAGGTGGTACAATTGCAAGTGCTGGATTTGGGCTTGTCTCAGATACTTACTAGCTGTGTGATCCAGGACAAATCACAATTTCTGTCTCAGTTTTTTCATCTGTAAAATGGGAATAACTATAGTATTTACTTCACAGGGTTGTTGTGAGGATTAAATGAGATAATGTGTGAAATGCTTTGCAAACTTCAAAGTGCTAGATAAAAGGACTTGGCTTGGGTTTGTGGACAGTGTCTTTATATTGGTCCTACAGAGCAGGGGTGTACATAGGGTACAATTCAAAGTATTTTGAAAGGGTCTCAGCAGAGTCTAGAGACCCATGAAAATTAAAAACAAATATTAGTACCACATTAGGCTAAGAGGCAAGATTCAATGATACTAACCACTTCAATCCCTAAATTCTGCTTAAGGCAGTTTTAAGTAACGAGCAGCGCCATTGTGCAGAGAGAACCTTACTATCTTCTCAGAGATATTTTGGGAAAGAGTTTTGAAGGCAAGTGAGAGAATTTTGTACAAGTCCTTTCCATATCTCAGTTTCCTCATCTGTAAAATGAGGAAGTTAGAGTAGATGCCTCAGGTCCCTTCCAATGTTAAACATCCTGTGAATCTTTTGAAGTCGTTTTGAGCTTGGAGGAGAAAGTACCTTAGGATAAAATTTTACTTCTTGTTACAGAGAATAGGTTAAAGACTAGTGAGTGTGTGGACCAGAGTTTTAGGTCATTGTTTCCTGGCCACACGTCCGTGACAAATGTTTACCAGTCCACAAAACTTTTACTACCAAGAGTCCTTGCTTTTTTAAAGCCTGTAAATTGGCTTCTTTTTCTTCCTTTCCTTCTCCCCATATCCTACTCCTCCAAATCCTGAATCCTTTCCCGCCCCCGTCCCACTCCCAGTTCCTGGTTCTGCCTCCATAAGCTTGCAAAAACTGCTTGGTGGATGGTCACACAGTAGAGTTATAGTAAAGTTCATTGTTGTTGTTCAGTCATTCAGTCATGTCTGACTTCGTGACCCCATTTGGGGTTTCCTTGGCAAAGGTATTGCAGCGGTTTGCCATTTCCTTACAGATTGAGAAACTGAGGCAAACAACATTAAGTGACTTGCCCAGGGTCACACAGCTAGTAAATGTCAAGTGTCTGAGGTCACATTTGAACTCAGGTCCTCCTGAGTCCAAGGCCAGAGCTCTATCCACTGCGCCACCTAGCTGCCCTCAAATCTCATGCTTTCTTCACTGAACAATTCACACCTCTTGTAAAAATAGCTGAGTTTGCATTCTAGAACTTGCTGTTCTAGAATGAACATATAATCTATCTAAATAGTTATTTCCTGTGTTGTGGACTCCTATTTTCCACTTTCCCTCTGAGCAGCAGTCCTCATGGGACTGTATGTACATTTTATTTTTCTGGACTAGTATTTAAGCTCCTTGAGGGCAGAGCTTGTCCTGTGCCTTCTAATTATTCTTTATTGCTGTAGTACCTCCCACAGTGCTTTGTAGACAGCTCAATAAATATTTGTTGAACAAATGAGTAAACCAGATTAAACAAATATATAATTCTCAAATTGGCAAACAAGATTGGGATCTGACAT